GCCTGTACCCCAGTTCTGTATGAATAAATAAATCTTTTTAAAAAAATGTGTATCTTTTTATACTTTTTAGGTGTTTTCTATAACACAAAGGTATTCATTTTAAATTGGGAAAATAAAGCAAATAGTCATCTCAAAAATGGAGTTTTCCAGAGGAAAAAATAAAAATTCAAGTTAAAACATTATTTTTATTTTAGATTCAAATTTCATTACATTTTTGTTTTCTAGACTTTGCCTTTCCAGTTATGATAAGACAGAACTTTGCTGAGAGTTAATGTATGATAAACTTTTGGGTGAAACAAACCAACAATATAATCTGCCATCAAGTACCTCATGTAGTTGCCTCTTTAACCAAAATTAAATGAATTAAGATTCAAATATCAGAATAGTTGGTAAAGTAGAAAGTAATAAATTATTTTGAAATGATTTCCAGAAGCCTATTTTTAAAAATCAGTGCTAAGCCTGTCTGATCTCCATTTTGTTGATACTGTAAGATATTTCTGTGAACACTTCCTGAATTTTAAGTATAGTCATTCATATAAAGAAGGAAATGTGCTTAGATTGATTATATTTTTCCGCTGCAAGAAATGTGTGATACATTAAAGTACTCAGTTTGCTTTATTAAACATAATATATGTCCACAAAAGTGAAATGAAAGTTTTACTCCTGAGTAAAGCTTAGGTGATTTTAGGTGACTTTTTAAACTAGAGTTGTATAACTGCGTAATTTAACAGTGAAGTTGATGGATTTTAATTCAAGGCATCTGCAACCCTTTGTGGTTTGGAGGTGGAAGAGATAGAACTTGGGGGAGGTTAGAGGGAGGGGGAGGGAGGTACCTGTGCTTGAAAATCTAACAGTTTACTTAATTTCTTTTGTTTCTAAGTTGGTGGTATCTTTTAGCTTTGGAAAAAAGGACTCTGTACAACATGTAATATTTTTATTTGAAATTTTTTCCAAGAAGTTTGTATTTAAAAAAATCTTTAAATATAAGAGTAGAAAAATTAATGCATTGAACAACTAACTCCTCCAAGTCCCCATCCCCCAATTTTAGCAGTTTCTATTATATATATATATATATATAAATTTATTATATAATACACACACATCCCCCATCTACTTACAACTCATTCTGGATGATTTTGACAGAAATCACAGATACGGTATTTTTTCTGTAAAACTTCACTATGAGTACTAAAAGACACCTTAAAGCATATTCACAATACTCTTATAGCTACAAGACAAAGAGTATTTAAATTTTCGGACTGTTTTCCTATAGTTATTTGTTTGCACTGGAATATACAAAATTTCCACTTACTGCATTTGGTTGAGATGTCCCATAAATTTCAAGTTTCTCTTTTATCCCCTTTTCCCTCTCTAAGGGTGTTTTGTTGAAAGAATCAGGTTACTAGCCCTACAGAATTTTAGTTTCCAATAAATGTTAATTAATTATTTGATATAAAATTATTACAAGGTAGTTGTTAAGCAGTCAAAGAAATGTTATTATAGCAGAGGACTAAATCACCTAGAACCAAATTCAGTCTGAAAACACAATTTGTTAATAAGCTTATGGGGGAGGGGGGAAGCAAAGACTGTTTCACTGCACAAATGGTCCTATGTTCCTTATTTATAGAAGCATGATAAACAGCTAATAAAGTAACCATTTCAAATTTATTATATGTAATATAAATACTAAAATTTGAGAGTACTCACCAGTCTTCATTTCTAATAAGCGCTTTTTCTTTTGCTGTCGCTCAAATCTTTCTTTCTCTGCCAATTCTTTGGCTATCCTGGCACGTTTTTCTTTTTCCTCTGCTTCTCTTTTTTTGACATTATCCTTTATTGCTTGCTGTTGCAAATAAATTGTGAAAAATAATCAACTTTAACAAGATTCCACAAAGGAAATGAAAAATTACTAATGTGTAATAGAACTGTAATTAAGTGTCTTTTAGATAAGGGTTACTTCTTATGTTAGTAGCAGTCTTTTAAAAGATAAACATATGAACTCTTGCTAAATGTTATGTATCTATAAATACAACCATTCTGTCTGAAGCACCTGCATCTTAGTGGAATCAACTAAGTGAAGGGAGACAGAAACTAAAAATAAAGAAGCATTTAATTTACAAATCAAAACAGTTTCCACACACACACAGATATTTCTAAGAGTGCCTAGCAATGTATTAGTGTTTTTCATACTTTCTGTAAGTAAATTATTGAATACAAGAAAATAACTGAAAATATGAAAGAGCTGTAATGTTGTCATGGCCACTTTGTATTACACTCATTATACTTCTCTCATATGTAGAGAAGTACCATACATGGATGGCTAAAGAATATCTGCTATTTCAAAGTCAGGCACTCTTACTATTCATGGAAGCAAGTAACATGTGAGCCACAAGATTTCAAAAGAAATGTAATTTGTTAATTTTTATTTTCTAAGTTTTATACAAATTAAGGAATGCTTCCGGTGTGGTATTGATGAGAATTAGCAGGGCAACATGAATGCTTGTATTGTCAACAGCATGGCATCATAGGAGACTGTATTGTGAGTAGTGAAAAACCCAAAAGGTTACTTAGTTGCTACTTTATGTCTAATAGTATCAAATAGAAAAGTAACTAAGCTATAACAATTAGGTAACTAACTTGGTGGCTCCCATACCTATGTGTATGTTTATCATAGTTATCATACATGTGTGAATGGCTCTAAAACAAGTTTTCATTCTTTACATTCTGTGTGAGAGGGCAAGGCAGGAACAAAGACAAAGT